CTTTTCTTGTTTCATTGAGATAGTTTTTGGGCTTTTAGGTAAAGCCCAACACAGGAAACCTAATAAACTTCAGCTGATTCGTCTGCTCCACCAGAATTTTGGGAACGTTCGTCGGCGTCTCTTGTAATTCACCGTACTTAATGGCAAAATTGAAAGAGAAGAAAAAATTATCACTAGAAGAAGAAAAGGTACGGCACGAAGAAGAAGAAGAAGAAGAAGAACAGAACCCTGCTACAAAATCGAGGAAAAAGACGAAGAAAAAGAAAAAGGAGCAAATAGATGTGAAAATCCAGACTGTTGCTGAAAAGAAAGATAAAATCTCCCCAATAATCGGCTACTTCCCTTCCGGTTATGACCCGTTGAAGAACCACAGCGAACCAGAAGCAAGTGTCAAGGTTTATAGGAATGTGAAGAAGAGTAATCGGCTGCAAATGGTGGTGAGCCCCCATGGATCCTCGGTAGATTTTGTTGGGACGAATTATTCCGGTGAAGCCACAGCACCACAGCTGTGCAAGTATGCCCTTGGTGTACTGGATAAAGATACCCAGACGTTGAGAATGGTTCCAATTGAGTCGAATAAGGTAGTTTTTAATGATAAATTTTGCTTAACAAAGACAAAGGGAATCTCTCTTTAATTTTAAGGATAACTTTTTTCGCGATTAAAGATGTTCATATTTTTGGGTTCTGCTTGTAATACTGAAAGTATAGGAATTCCTGGTTTTTAAGAATGTTATCGAAGATGATATAAGGGATTCTGTTTAATTTGATTCACAGTACATTCTTTCTAATTTTATTATTCTTTTTGGGAAGAAGAATGTTTTTGTGAATTGAATCAGGACAATATGCTTGTTATGAGTACAGATATTTAGATTGGAAACGAAAATTGGAGCAGCAGACCAACCTGAAAACGAACTCCTGGATGAAGCTAATGAGGAAGATGCCGCGGAGAAAAAGGCTAATGAATTAAAAAAATTGACACTCATGTATTCAACGAAGAAGAACATTAGACAGGTGCAGCCCTTCTCTTTACTTATTGCTCTGTAGTTCTTCATAAAATGTGCTGCTGATATGCACAAATTAAGATTCTGGTTAAATTTTATGTTAATTTATATCTATTTCCTATTATTTTTGTGGCCGGTATAAGGTTTTGTACTCATAAAAATGAAAGTATCTGTGTTGTTTCTGTCATAGGGCTCCTTGACCCTTGTTCAATTCTTTCAAATTCATTGGATCCTTTTTGACATTCGAGAATCCCGCCATAATGGGCTAACTGCATGATATTCAGTCTAATAGACACCCCATCCCCGGTATCAGCTTACAAGAACGCTGTCTATAAACACACACTCACTCGAACTTCAAAAGTGCAATCTGAGGCTCTTAGCATATCATATTCTCTTGATTGTGCAGTGGGAATTGCGAATAATGTTTGTATTATTTCTTTATAAATAAATCGCAGGATGTGAAACGTGATGCATTGCGTCAAACAGGAGATCCAGGAGTTCATCAGGATTTGGACTTGAAATTACAAGAAGTCGAGACAATCAAAGAGGCACTTGAAGCTGCTACTTCTGCAGATAATTCTCTAAATATCCCACCCTATGATTTGGCTGCCACTTCACCAGACATGGCATATCCACTTGACAAGATTATTTTGAAAGGGGAGTGGGATTACCTTCTTGACATTTTTGAGCTTTCATGCACCGGGGGAGAAGTGACACCGAGCATCTACCCGAGATTTGTCCGCAGCAGAGTTCATCAACTGGAAGATATTGAGGTACTGATTAATAGTTTGACTTAAGCTCCTGATTATCTGATATTTGCAAAATGCCCAATACATTGCAAGTTTGACAATCTCCTTGCTATTTCTACTTTTTTCTATTTCTCTTTCGCAAATTCCATGGATGAGGTAACCAGTATAACTTCAACATTTGCAATTTCTAGTTGAATTGTTGATAAAATTAAAATTAAAATTTCGTGGAGGCTTCTGCTACATCATGTTTAGGCCAAATAGATTTTGATTTCTTAGATGATTAAATCTAAGTAATCAACTTTCACTTTGAATGAGAAGTTGGTTAGCAGAAGAGCTCTATTTTATTATAAAATTCAGTTTCTTACGAAATCTGATTATTTACACCAGTCAAGACTCAAAAGTCCAAACTATAGCTGGAAAAAGGAAATGTTGATTATGCTGGTTCACTAAATAAAGAATATAAGTTGTTTTGTATATTAACAATATTTGGTTGAACGAATCGTTTTGCTTTAATGCTTTCTCCTTTACTTCTTGCCTTTCCACATTGTAGGACAATGCAAAAAAGAGGAAGTTGGCTGGCATATTTTCATACATCACTCATCTCATCAAGTTCAAGGATAAACATTCTATGGATGGCGTTTTATCTGCAAAGCACCATAAATTCCCGAGTATCTTTTCCCAGAAATTCTCTTCACTGTTTGGTACTTCAAATGATTCAAGAATTCCAGATGAGAAAAAGAAGCTGCTCATAAGTTATGTGTTGGTGCTCACTATGTTCGTGGATGAATTCAAATCCGACCCATTAGATATAGCCGAAGATCTTAGAATGACACCTGTCGCACTAAGGCCCCATTATGAATACTTGGGTTGCAAGTTCAGGCGCGAGAATCAAGTTTTGGTGGCTACTCTTCCAGTCCCGCTGGAATTTCAAACTATTAAGAGGAAGAGAAGAAGGTAGATCTTCAGCAACAACCCTGGCTCCATCACAACTTGTTTGAGAAATTATTTTCCGTTTCTTCTGAATTTTGTTTGGAGGCGAGGATGATGTTAAGGGATACTTTGAAAATTAATCATCTCTTATAATGTTTGTGATCTATAATACTGCATTTTGAATTTCAACTGTTTCGTGTTTTATGTACACAATTCTCATAATCTTAATTCTAAAATCTTTAGCTGTTCGACTATGATTTATCAGTCAAATGTTATCAGCGTTTATGATTCTTGATTGAATAGAAGAAAAGGGCTTGAATTGTCACTGTTTCAAATTCTTAAATTAGAAAAAAGGTTGCAAAGATTGTCCAGGAATTGGAAAATGAAAGAGAGGAATTTCTTTTTAAATATCTTTATTATGAGTTTCTTCTATGAAGTTCAGATAACCAAGTTAAAAATACCAATCATGTTAAAGTGAGACGCGCTGTTTGTCGGCTAATCATCTTGGCTTGTCTTGCTAGAATGCTAGACAAAAATACGAGTTGCTTATCAACTCATATGAGTTGACTTGCGAGTTGGCTCATCTCGCCTGCCTCATAGGCCAAGCCTAGGCATGTTTTGGTTGAGTGAGTCGACTCGAGCTTGAGCCAGGTGGTAGTTTAATAGTGACTTGATTCATCCTATTTAACACGAGTAATGTAGCGTGTTAAAATTGACATGGACCGAACTTGTGTGTTAGGAACGGTGTCACACCCAAACGTACATTGGGAAGGGGGTGAGCATTTTTTTTCATTTTTTCTTTCACGTGTATCCCTATGTCAGTCCCACGCCATGAGTTTGCGTCACCCAAGTGGGCCAACCTCTTCTGGCAGATCAGCTTAATTCAATTGATATAGTGCAATCAAGGTCGACTTCTATGGGATAAAGGTCTGCATGGGTGCGGAGGGCGGGGTTGGATTTCGAAAATATAAGATATAATTATTAAAAAGAGGGGTGGAGATTATCTTGCTTAACAGGAGAAAATTGACAGACAATTGTCCCCAAAAATAGCACTAAAATGCAAAAGAAGAAATTTGAATCATTTTCCCATTCCTTTTGCGCATGGTTAAGCTGTTCCGGTAGCGCCAAGCCAGCAACCACCGTGCTGGTAGTGCCGCTACCTAGTGCAGCCGCCGTGCGCAACCATTGTCTCGTGATGAAAAATGGAGAATTACTCAGATTCTCAGCACCAAGGCATCATTACCACCGCCGTAGCTATTGACAGAGACAAGAACAGTCAGTTTGCCCTCAAATGGGCCCTTGATAATTTACCGTTGAAGGATAATCAAATTATCCTTATCCATGTTTCAATCCTACAAAATTTGGAATCTGGTAGGTATCTTGTTCTTTTTTCTTTATATTGAATCGGAAGATTATTGTGTTTTGCCAGTACATTTCATGGTAATTATATTTATTGTCAAAAATTGTCGATGACGAATATTATAAAATAATCCGTGCAATTTTTATTTTCCCTTTTTTGTTCAAGCAATGAATCTTGAATAATGGTAGAATATGTTGGAAGCTAGTGTACTTCATGGGATTTAATGAGGAAGTATGAATTAGGGCTTAGACTTCCAATCCGTATTCATGTTAAGCAATCTTCTAATAATGCCATATTCTTTGTAGAGAGGGAAAAAGTACATTAAAAGTTACATCCTAGGAACGTGACTCATAAAACAGCATGATTGAGTATTTCTGGATTAAATTTGGGGCCTCAATACGAACAGAAGCAAATCCTGTTAAAATTCAGATCGATCTTTTGAGAATGTTGTATTGGTTTCATTTTCTTATTGGTATACATTAGGAAATGACATATTAATTCCAGTGTCATTAATATTATTTTTGCTTGCGTATAATTAATTTTTATGAGAGTATTGAAATTTGTTGCCTAACGCAGCTGCTGAAGGTGCTGTCCCTAAAGTAGGTAGTTCACCTACTCTAGCTGAAATTCCACAGTTCTTCCTTCCCTATCGTGGGCTTTGTGCTCGAAAGAGGGTAATCCAAAATTTATTCACAGTTTATACCATATTTGCATTTAATATTATAGCGCGACAATGAAGAACTTAATTTGTTAACCAATATGTGGTAAATTGGGCACCATGAGTCTATATTTCGATCTTTTGCCTCAAGCAGGATGCTGGAATGAAAACATATAATCTCTGTGCATGTTTGGTACGCATTTCTACATAAGACTATATAATAAACAAGATTATGGATTATTTTTCTTCCTTAATAGTGTCAATTACTAGCCAATCCTCCTTGCTAACCATACTTTATAGAGATTAAGCCCCCGTTTGGGCCACCTTATTTTCTCATTAAAATGAAAAATATGACCGTTATCCATCACATCAACATTTAAATTCAAATTTTCTATTTCTTGTGTGGGCCCCAATAACGACTATATTTTTCATTCTCATTCTACAATAAGGTGGCTCAAACAAGGTCTAATAAATGCTTATTTGCTCTGGCACCAATAATTAATGGTCAATAAATGACGGCTCCATTAAATTCTGATATTGAGAATTTGCCGGGTGCAAGTTAATCACAACAATTTTTTGAAAGCTAGTGCACAGAATGTTCAGATCACCAGAAACTTGAACATTGGGGATTAGAACTAAATCTTCAGATTTGGCTTGGTTAAATAGAGATTAATGTTCACAAAACTTTCCGAGGAGTCTTAATAATGTTGAGTGCATGCTTGGCTATATAAAAAGTAAAATTACTTTTACATAACTTTTTATTTCCAAAAATGTTTAGAGATTTTACGTTTTCTTACATCACGTAAGACAATTACTAACTTCGGAAGCAACGCATAAGTCTTATTTATTTTCAAATTCCAACTTAGAACTAACAAATAATGTATTTCATTTCAAAACTATAAATAAACTTTTTAAGCTTAGGCAAACATGCTCTCATATGAGTATCTTCTATGAAAACTCCACTATTTTTCACATACATGACCAATGCTTGATTGCTGATTGTAATTACTTTAGATCCATGCAAAGGAAGTGATTCTGCTTGAGCCTGATGTTGCAACTGCACTTACTGAGTACATAATTGATAACTCCATCACCACCATTGTTCTTGGTGCTTCAAGCCGGAGTTACATAACAAGGTATGCTTCATTGATCCTTCTCTCTTGATCAACTAGTTATAAAACTTCCATCTTCAAGTGGTCAAACAAAACAAGTGTCTTAAAGAGTGAAATCGTAATCACATCCTTGTCGTGTAACTTTCATTGCACCTTCCCTCACCGTGTTTATTGAATTACTTAACTGGAAAATCACCTGCTGTATGATCAGAAATCAAGAGGCGAATAACAAAAGTAGTGTCCATTAAATGGGAACTTGAACCTTCATTTCCTGTTTCCCTTGTAAAAGAATTATACTTGCAATTTGATGGAACTATTTCTACTTGCTTGACTGTTTTTTTCCATCTTTTCCATCGATAAAAGGTTTTTTTATTTATTTTCAGGGCATTTAGAAATCTAGACGTGCCAAGTTCTTTAGGAAAATCTGCACCCGATTCCTGTTCAGTATATGCTATATCAAAGTCAAGAGTTCTGAAAATTAAATCTGTTATGCCCAATACTATAAGGCAATCACCTCATACCGGATTCCAACCAGATACGGCTGGCTCTGCAGATATTTATAGGTAACTCAAGGAATTCATGGCCCTGCTATTTTGAAGTGCACAATGTCATATCTATACCTAGTTTAGACTATTGAAGACATATTTACATAAATAATACATCCCCCTCTTACAACTAAAGCTTTTAGATGAGAATGTTCAACGTGGTATCAAAGCAAGAAAAGGACTTGGATTCAAGTCTCGTGGCCACCCATTTCTGGAAAACTGTGCATATGTTAGAATTTTGATGAAAAAAACAAATGAGGGGTGTGTTGAAAACAAAATTTAGATGAATAAATTCGCCCCTCATCTAAGAGCTTAAAATAGAGACATTACAATTATCTGTCATCTTAAGAGAGATAGTTTGCTTATTATGTTATTTTGGTTAAATTCCTTAAGACCTCTACCTTACTGCATCGTATTTTCTTGAAGTGTCACTTCTTTCACAGCATGTGAGCATGTCAACAAGCTATTTACCGAGCACAAGTGGCTTGTATGTGTTTGTTTTTGTTTCATGATTCTAACCCTCAACTTTCAGTCTGGGTAGTTGGAGATCTTCCTCTGAGGTATCAACTGATGAAGGCAGCCGGAGAATGTCGATAGACACTACTCATGACATGTATTCTGTTAGCAAGAATTCATCTCCCCTTCAATCAGGGACCAATAGCAGTGAAGTTCTGCAAATGTCTCCATGGGAAAGGCGTTATGGCAGTAAAATTCTTACTACACCTCCACATTCTGGAGACACCAACTTTGAATCTACTCATGACATGCATTATGTTAGCAAGAATTCATCTCCCCTTCAATCAGTGACTAATAGCAGTGAATTTCTGCAAATGTCTCCATGGGAAAGGCGTTATGGCAGTAAAAATCCTTCACCTCCATATTTGGCGGGCACCAGCTTTGAATCTATGCAGAACACTCCACGAAGGAACAATCTCGATCTTCATGTTCGCACTAAAGAGAATTTATTTCACTCTGTAGCTACCTCGAGTGATCTTTCAGATTTGATGAGTTTACAGTCATCCAATATATCATTTGAACCTCTAGAGCAGCCCCGCACTTCTGATGCCACTAGGATCTCCACCTCCTCCCAAGCAGCGGTGAGTTCAAATATTTCTTGGTTTTTATGGCCTATAAAGAATGAGTGATCCTGAAATTTATTACTCATTAGGCAGGTTAGCTGTAAATTTTGAGAATAACATGCTATGTCACTATGCTTTGTGCCCTTCCACTGGCAATAATCTAAAGTCATTCTAATACTCATTGGCCTCTCGGCGTTGTACAATTTATCTTCATGAATTGAATAAGTTTATACAGAACATACAAGTTTGCTAGTATGAATTGATCAGAAGTTGGGTCTTATTTTGTGACCAAAGCTGCAAGATAAGCATCCGTACACGAGTATGTGCTTAGACTTTGAAATTCCACTATCTGATAATTTACTTGAAGAAGTGGCCTAATTAGTTTCATGTGTGGCCAAGTATCCAACTATATTTTAAACAATCCTGATTTTATTTTCGCATATGATGTGTTTTCTACAATATACTAAAATTGTGTGGGTTGAAATTTTTGCCCTAGTTAGCGTTAAGCTGTACTGTGAGAAATATTTAGAAAATTTTGCCGTTCATGTCTTTGGTTTCCCATTATGGTTTGCTTTATGCACAGACTAAATTCGAGACTCGTCTTCTTTTGACTATCATATGAACTAGCTCTATCTCTTATAATGCATGTCAGGGAGAATTAGAGAACGAATTAAGGAGATTGAGATTTGAACTGAAACAAATCACACTGCTGTACAATGCAGCTTGTAATGAAGCAGTAACCGCTAGAGAGAAGGTAACATAACGACTTCAAACTTGCTATCTTTTTGTATTTCTCCTAACACCAATGGAAATAACCCTTTGTCAACGTATTGCTTATAACTTATTTTTTGCCTCCAAACCACTCCCCGCCCCCAAAAAAAAAAAAACACTTAAATTATATCCCAGGTAAGAGAGATTGGTCAGTGGAAGTCAGAGGAGGTACACAAGTTAGAAGAAGTCAAGCATGCGCAGGAGGTTGCATTGGCTATAGTAGAGAGGGAAAAGCAGAAGTGCAAGGAAGCTGTTGCAGCAGCACATAAGGATCAACAGATAGCAGAGATGGAGTCTGCAAAGCGAAAACGTGCAGAACTAAAGTTTAAATTGGAGGCTCAAGAGAAGCAGAAAGCAATGGAAGCATTGTCACGAATTGAAGTTAGATACAGGAAATACTCAATTGACGAAATTGAAGTTGCAACTAATTGCTTCTCCAGATCAGGAAAGATAGGTGAAGGTGGATATGGGTCTGTCTTTAAAGCAACTCTTGATCACACATCTGTTGCCATTAAGGTTTTGAGGCCAGACTCACAAGGACAGAAACAATTTAAGAGAGAGGTACTCCATGCCATTTCTTTCTTTATGATGCAAATGTCACATTTAAACTAAAATTTCTTGGTTTAGGTCAGGTTTAGGACAACATGAATACATCTCTTTTCACTTGGTTAACTTTGAACAATCTGTGCATTATCTCAACCCTTTTTTTTCTCAATATTGTCGGAAAGCAGTTTTCAACATCCTATGTAAAGTACTTTCATTCTCCTTAGATTTCCAAGAAATTTTTTATGGGATTACAGACAGCCCTAAATAGGTTACCCTTGCTGTTTGAACATCGTAAGAATCATAAATTAAAATAAATATTCAAGAAATTAAAAAGAAGATTAAATTTTAATCAAGAAATGGGAAAACAGAAATTTTCAGTTGGTAGAATCTCACGAGTGTACGTGCCGATTCAATCTTCTAATTGTTCTAGTATTTTTATGCTGTAGCTTGAGGTGTTGAGCCACCTAAGGCATCCAAATTTGGTAATCCTTGTGGGTGCCTGCCCCGAGTTTGGTTGCCTTGTATACGAGTACATGGAAAATGGAAGCTTAGAAGACAGGCTTTGTCTCAAGGATGACACTCCACCTATTCCATGGAGCACCCGTTTCAGAATAGCTGCTGAAATTGCCACAGCCCTCCTCTTCCTCCATCATATGAGGCCAAATCCCCTTGTGCATTGCGATCTCAAACCTGGCAACATTCTATTGGACCGTAACTACGTGAGCAAGATAAGTGATGTCGGCCTATCTAGGTTAGTTCCCCCATCTTTGGCCGACAACCTTAACCAGTATCATGTGACAGCAGCAGTGGGCACATTTTGTTACATTGATCCCGAGTATCAACAGACTGGAATGTTAGGAACGAAATCGGATATTTATTCTTTTGGTATAATTTTGTTGCAAATGATCACTGCCAAGCCTGCTATGGGTCTGACCTATATTGTTGAGCGGGCTATTGAGAAAGGACAGTTTACAGAGATACTCGATCAGACAGTGAAAGATTGGCCAGTTGAGGAGGCTTTATCATTGGCTAAATTGGCTTTGAAGTGTTGTGAACTGAGGAAGAGGGACAGGCCAGAACTCGATTCAGTGATATTGCCTGAACTAGAACGACTGAGAGAACTCGGATTAGAAAATGAAGCCAAAGATGGATTCAACAAAATGGATCTGCAATTTCCACGCTTTCAAGAAAACTTAGCTTTAAGCCAGGTGTGTGACCAGTTTCCTCTATACTTTTCGTTTGTGTTTGTTACGTACAAATTGTACAGTAGGATAAATGATAAACAAGAATTCAATCCATTATCATTTTGTTCCCTAATATTGTCAAGTACTATTTAAGTTGTCCTTTTCGTTCAAGCAGTGAACCAGAAGCACCAATTCTGAGATGCAAATGGAAAATCATAGCAAATACGCATCTGAAAGTACCATCAGCAGAATTGCAAGACTGGAAACTCCAGATTAACTCTTCATGGGGCCCGGATTATACTAATACGGCAAGCTTTATACTAATACCAACCTAGCTCAAATTTTCTATTTCTTACTATGCACGTCTCAGTTTTCCCCCTCATTAAGGGTTAATAATTTTTTGTCAAACATTTAGCAGCCTCTAAAGCTCAAAAGTGTAGATAAATTGTATATGGATGAACATAGAAATAGTAGCATTTCTTACTTTAGATGAAGAAATAGAAGGGTTCTAACTTTTTCTTTTTGCTGCTAAAGTGGTTTGAAGAGAGAGAGAGAGGGAGTAACAATAAATTAAAGAAAGGAAAATATGTGGGATGTTAATCCTTAGTACATTCTAGCATTCAATTTCAATGTCATTGTAATTAGACAGGACACAACAACTCAAAATTTGTTACGGTGTATCTCTTCTTTAATCTTGTCTTGTCGCACGTACCAATTGTGTTACTGTAGGAGAACATTGAGAATGATTCAATAATCTATGACACGTAGAAATTTGAAAGCAAAGCATAATGATCAATGAGTTATGTTCAGAAGTTCAATGAGTTACTAGTAATTAGTGGCAAAGTTCAGTAACCAATATTATAATTTACTCGACAATGAACCATTTGAAGAGAAGGGCATTTTGGTCACTCAATGGCTACCTTTAATATACTCTGGGTGGTCATGTTTTCGACTTTTTTTTTTCTATTTTGCTAATTTTTAATTACATTAAGCGTCTTTAGTATTTGTTTATTTTGTACTCGTGTCTCTATTTTTCCTAGGGCTGTCCGTGGGTCGGTTCGGTTCTCTTCAGAACCGAACCGATCCAAAACTTTAGGTATTTAATAAATGGAACCGTCGGGTTCAAATATAATTATGGAACCGTTTGGGTTCGGTTCAGTTCAGTTCCTTTCAGTTACGTACCATAATTAAATTTTTTTAATATTTACAGCAATACTATATAAATACAACTAATTACATTTCATATAAGAAATAATCTGATTTATTTAATTAATTTGTATAAAAAATTAAAATAATTTAATTAATTCAATATAAAATATAAAAAAATTATTTTGTTTGGGTTCTAGGTCTAAACCCGATACCCGACCCAAACTCATCGGTTCTCGATTCAAATACCCGTTCATGTATTTAACTTATGAAAAATCGCTCAGTTCGATTCGATTTGGTCTGGTTCGGGACTTTTGGACACCTCTAATTTTTCCGATGTATTTGTGTTATCAATATTCTATTAATTAGCACATTTTCTCTCTGATAAAGATTTTTGTCAAAAAGCCTCGTTAAGATGAGAATAAAAAGACTTAATTGCGTCTCAAAATTTTCAAATAAAGTAAAAAATTAATAAATACAAAAGCGTTATTGAATATTTGTCTTTCATTTTTAGAATATGGTAACATGAACATAAATTATCATCGATGTTAAATACGCTAATTAATAAAAGATTGATAATAAGAACGTGGAAAAAAAAGGTAAGGAGAAAAAAAAAAAGTTGACCCGTCTAAAAAGAAATCAAAATTTTAAATTACCACGTGGATTATTATTTTTGTTTTTTGGAAACTTCATAGGATGTCATAATGTCATTGTCCTATTTTACAGCTGACCAGCGAGTATTCAGCAGTATCGAACCGGTCCACCCCACCTTTCTATAACAGACCGGTTCCATGACCCTAGAATAATTCTTATTATTTCTTCCCCAGGCCATTGATGCTAAACCTAAGGCTCCCCATTCCCCTCTACAGAAATAATCGCCACCTCTTGCTCGGAGCCCCGATCATTCTATTCAGGCAACCGATAACCCATACACTATAATCCTCCATGGAAAACCAGCATCGTGCTCCGAATGAAGGCAGCGGCTATGAAAACGATTCAACTCGCCGACTTTACAATCCGTATCAAGATTTGCAGGTCCCGATACAAACCCTGTACAAGCTCCCCACCTCCCCGGAGTATCTCTTCCCGGAGGAATCCCGCGCGCAACGCCGTTCATGGGGAGAGAATCTCACGTACTACACCGGAATAAGTTACTTGGCCGGTTCCTCTGCCGGCGCCGCAAAGGGATTTGTCTCCGGCGTCAAGTCCATTGAGTCCACGGACACCATGAAGCTGAAAATCAACAGGGTACTCAACGGGTCAGGTCATACCGGCCGCCAGATTGGAAACCGGTGTGGGGTCATAGGACTGCTCTTCGCAGGCCTTGAGAGCGGCATGGTCGCATATAGAGATACAGATGATGTGATCAACAGTGTGGTCGCGGGACTTGGCACGGGGGTGCTCTACAAGGCGGCAGCCGGACCGCGTTCTGCAGCCGTGGCAGGGGCGATAGGCGGTGTGCTCGTCGGGCTCGCTGTTACCAGCAAACAGGCATTGAAACGATACGTGCCGATCTGAACACTTAGTTTTCTTTTAGAAATTTATCTATGTTTTTATCTGGTGGGATTATGATCTTCATTCCATTAATTAACCATTTACTTTCTAGTTTTCAACATTCCACTGTACCTCAATTTCTTTCTTCAACAGAAACAGGGTAGAAAGTTAATTGTGTTTTACAGATACTTCCAATATGAATTGACTTCATTATCATAGATTTGCTGAAACTTACCAGGAATGTTTTACAAGTACATCACATTGACCATGTTCATAACATGCTAAGTTGGGATCGTGAAGCAGTTGAACTAAGCTCGACAGGTTCGCCTCGGACTGCTTGTCCAGCCCTCAATAAGTTGTATTTGGATCTGCATTCAAATAATTTTATTCATTTTTTGCGGTGATCATCACGCATACAGGTGGTAGCGACTGATGGAGTTGTGATTTATTTTATTTTTGAGGCATTGCGCTGGTGGTGATATGCAATTAGATATAATGCCATTACTCAAGCTCCTATATGGTTTAGCTAAATATCAAAATTTTAGTAGATTTTGATAGTGTTGATCCAACTGTGGTGTTGAAAAATTGATAAAAATTGTGGACTCATTTTGTTACGACTTCAATCCGGTCGCTAGGCTTGCCTTCGACATCCCTCTCCTTGGCAGTTGAGGTGATGACCCAAAATGTACAGGCAGTGTTTTTAAGGTCCGAGAACAATTTCGCTGTCGTATGGCTGATTGACGATTACTAGCGATGCTGGCTTCATGAAGACAAGTTGCATCTTGCAATGGACAAGCAATCACAAGCTACGCTTAATCGCTTGTCATGTAGATACCTTAAAACATATTCATTCTTTCATTTGACTGAAAATGAGTATGAGGGAAAAAAAATTAAGGTTCTCGAAATAAAGACCAAATAGGGACTACATTGACAATGATTCACGAGTCAATGTGATGAATAGCATTACTCAAAACTTCATAGCATTTATATGACTAGCTTCTTGATCGTATGATTTAAATGGATACATGTGCCCCTTACTCCTCTTGTTACACTTTGAAAAAGAAATTATTTTATTTTAAAACAGATAGCTCAGATGTAAATTATCTCATGCTAAGAGCAGGTCCTATTACCTCCAAATGAGCATAATTTAATCTACAATATAATGCCTCACGGCTCAATTATTTAAAAAATTATGTTACCCCTGTTCTTCTGACAAACGCCAAAATATAGACAAAATCAAGCTAATTGAAACTCAAAATGAACAAGTATCATCGGATCTGAATCCTTCACGCAACTTGATCATCAAAACTGAAAAACTGCAACATGGAATGCCAAAAAAAAAAAGAGGAATTTAGAGCAACATCGTTTCTGGATTCTCGATGTATCCCTTGAATGCCTTCAGCCATTCTGCACCAATGGCACCTAAACAAGCAGAAACAGACGAGGTAGTCAGAACCTTCCATATTATATATAATCCACACGATGGTGAGAACGAACTAAGCCAGTTCAGGTATGGCATTTTCCGTATAAATAATTTTCTTATTTCAATTATCCTTGGCACGGAAGAAAGAATTTGAGCATTACTAAATGTGAGATTATAGAAATACATTCATTTGTCAAAAAAGAGTATTTAGATTGACTGTCAAGTACAGGCCAAAATACCAAAAGTCAAAATTCGCAACTTACCATCAATAACGCGATGATCACAGCTCAATGTTACGGACATAAAAGAAGCAAACTTGTATTGCTCGGGACTGCCACCAGGTACAACCCTCTTCTCAGCTGCTCATAGATTTTTTTAGTAAGCATGATATCCACATCAAAATCAATAACTGCATCATTGTGAAACAAAAAATTTATCTCACCGGAGCCTACTGCAAGAATGCCGGACTGGGGTGGATTAATAATGGCACAGAATTGCTTGATTCCAAAAGGCCCTCCCAAATTTGACACCGTGAATGTGCCCCCCTGGAAAGAGGATATGTTAGTCAGAGTTGATATCCCAAGCAACTACCAACCTAGACATTGTTTTAACAAAGTTCAAATTTCACCTCATAATCTTCTGGTTTCAAGCTGTTTTCCTTCGCTTTCTGGGCTAAATGCTTGACTTCCTCAGAAATTTTTGATAAACCTTTCTTATCAGCATCCTGCGATTTCGTTGTGAAATTTTATTACTCATGGAGCATAGCCAAAGCCAACAAGAAGCATTACATTTTATCTAGTAGCAATCCATTAGTTAGGAACATATTTTATTGTATAATGATAACTCCTGGATAGAGTACTAGAACGGAAATATCCATTAGATAACAAATTATTGGTTCTAAGCTATCTCTGAAAATTCATCAACAATTTGAAGTTACTATATGAAAGAACATACAGTTGAGACGACGACATACCCTAACTATAGGCACATACAACCCATTATCTGTCTGCACCGCAACATTGATATTGACATTGTGATACCTGTATCAAACATAAAAAAGATGTTACAATTACTGGCCCACGCTGGTTGTACAATTACTCTGCATTATTGAGTACACTTACTGGCGAATGTAGTCATTGGTCCATGAACTATTACACTGAGGAACTTTCCGAAGAGCCAAAGCAGCAGCCTGCAGTCAAATAGCAGTTTAGCCAAATGTTTGAGACAATCAGTCACCCCCAACAACCCACCTACCCCACACAGACACCTACCTCATTTTTTTTTTTGGTATAATATACATGAAGAAAAAGAAATTGAGATTGTGCCAAAGTCTGTAATACCTTAATTACAAGATCATTAATGGATATCCTCTTCCCGCCTGAAGCTTCTTGCAATGCATTTAGCTCGTTGCGCAATCTGCATGACAGGTAGAATGTAAATCAAATAAAATGAAATTTATTGCAGCAAAATCTCAGTGGAGGGGACATCAGCACTCACTCCATAAGCTTGTCGACACATGTATCTACAGTTAAGTAATAATGAGGGATGGTTTGTTTTGATTGCAACAACCTTGATGCAGTCACCTGCCAAGCCGGTAACAAAAAATAGCCACAATTAACAACTCGGCCATGAATGATAATTGAAAGTGCTAAACATAGATTAATTGCATTTTGCAACCTAAGATTTGCAAAAGAGAGCAACCAGAACTCCAAATACTTTGCCATATTAAGAACATTAACACGTGTTGTGAAAATGATCGCATAACTTCCCTGGCACAAGTTGGCTGACCGGGCATGGCCAGGGGATTTGTATAACTTAGACCAGTATATTTTTGTCAAATCTTAGATCTAAAATTTCATAAAAGCAGTAATACATAGGTCCTGAAGATGAGAATGGTGAAGCCAAACCTTTCTAATTTGTGCGTGTGGAATGTCTGTGTAATCTAGACCAGCAGCAGCTGTGGCAGCAGCCTTGGGAGCTTGCAAAACTTCCTTGCCGTGAGAATCTACAGCACAGATGGTAAAATGGGTTACTAAATCATTTAGCAATCAAGTCGATGATTATAGAGTAGAGAAATATGGGAAATAAGCAATGCACGCTTTATTCCACCAAAGATAAAAAATTTAGACAGCGCCGAGAATCAGCCTATTAGTGCATAAACTACACGTAAACAAGGATGCAGAAAAATCTGTTCAAAAAAGAGGCTGAAGAAAAATACCAAGATAACATTCAATATCGGCCTTCACAATTCGTCCATCAGGACCAGTTCCTTTGATGTTTGAAAGGGGTACCTAAATTCATGATAATGCATGGACAGCAAGACAGTAAAGACGCTGTAAGAAACTAACTCTTATTTTCAAACAAAACATTGTTGATAAGATTATTGTAGCATATAATGTACATTGTGATCTTCAGCTAGTTTCCTGGCAAGAGGACTGGCAAAAATGCGACTTCCTGCAGAAGTAGGTGCACTAGGTGTCAAAGATTTTGGCTCTGGTGAAGTAGCAGGCGCTTCAGTCTCTTCTTTTGGTGGACTTGGAGTAGGGGATGTTTTGGGCGCCGGTGCAGAATCTGATGTTGAAGGCTGATAGTCTTTAAATTTTGCAACATCCTCCTCTTCTTCAACAGTTATTGCAATTATCTAGAGGCGAACATATTGTTAGAAAAGTTTCCAAACTAAATAATTATGACTTGCATGATACAGAAATACATAAGCTTGAAGAGTACAAAAGAGAGAAATAAAATTAATAGTAATATTCTTCACACAGTTATCTGAAATGTAACTATATATCTTCCTTCTTAAAATTCTGATGGGCATTCATTTCAAATGGCTTAGTTGGCTCAGTTTCATTTTCAGCTACTCAGTATGGTTCCATTCCCAGGGTTACGAAACCAATCAATACATATTTGGTCCAGTTACCAGTACAAGGAACCAGGAAAACCAAGAAACTGAGGCTTTTATGTCTGATGACTTGGAGGAAACCAAATTGAATTCGGTTATAATCTTATATTTCAGAAACAAAATGCAGTTTGATTGTGATTACACTCAGAACTGAACCTGTCCAAATAATGAATGATCTCCTATGTCAGAAGACCCAAATTAAACGATGTCAAGTAACATTTTGTACAAATTATCTAGATGAAGAAAGGGACCTGATTAGTAATGTCCAAGAAATAGCATAGCTCTAATGATTTAGTGAAGAATAGATTTTTTGATTATGTGAAAATAATTGAACAAACAATGAGAGAGATTTGCATTGAAGGCATGGCGAAAGAAAACAAACCAAAATCTGACTCCTCTGTTCTGTATTATTCAAAATATTACTGTATAAATTCTGAGAGAAATATTCAAGGGGCAGTTTGAACAAAAAAGCCTTCATATAAATGAGATCAATACCTCTCCAACTTTAATTCCACTAGATCCATCCCCAAGTAAAATCTTAGCTAGATATCCTTCCTCCATGCATTCCATTTCCACTGTTGCTTTATCCTAAAAGTATAAAAGGGGTGTTAAAATATTATATCAGATTTACAAGATAACAAGGATAAAAAAATTAATTTGAGAGCAGACAACAGAAAAGAGCAAATGAACCCACAGTTTCAACTTCACAAAGTACTTCACCAGGAGAAATTTTGTCACCCTCTTTCTTCAACCACCTAGCAATATTTCCCTGCATGAAGGCAAAAGAATGAAACACAACTATCATGACAACAGTAGGTGCAGCACAAGTAGATTCTTTCAAGAACTTCAGAAAGATGCATACCTCCGTCATTGTAGGAGACAGAGAAGGCATCCCAATCTCTTGGTGTGGAGGTAGATCTGAGAGACAGTAACATAATTAGTATAGATGGACATGCCTCAAACAACAATCACTGAGAATGAGAGAATTGCCCACAAAGGATCTAGCAGACTGGTTACTGAAATAATTCTAGGATCAAATTCAGGTTTAGAGATAAATGAAATTTTACCATGGGAATAGAAAATAGTTTATATTAACTAGCATAACTATGGAATATGGATGTCAAATAATTTCCAGATATGTATTTCGTAACCAGATTTCGGACTTGTATGCTCTAATAATTGTAGGATTATGCTACTTGTACATGAGGGATTACATAAAATGATGTGAAGGGAAAAGATTGGATGAAAAGGATGACTGTGTTTTAAACTGGCAAATGATAGAGTGTCATATGGCATTATGTAATCCCTTATGTAAACCTTTAGATACATGTAACAAGATCCTTAACTATAATTTGGCAATGACTGACCAAAAACATTCCCAAAAGTATGGAGCTCCAGTTCAAATAACAGTATCGGGGAAAATTGTAAGCTAAACTAACCTGAAGCTGTTGAAAAACTTCTCCTTGAATTACCCTGAGCACTGGAATCAGCAATGCAACATATCAGGTTATGTTTAAACAACGCAATTGTGAAATTGATGTGTTCACATGAGAGGACAGATGATCTCAAAATGAAACAAAACACACCATAGAAGCCCTTTGTTGAACATCATGCCAGCAACGGGTGTGTGCGCTTCCATTTCTTTTCTCAGAGCATTTCCATTTCGTAATCTTACAGCAGATATCTGCAGAACATAATTCAGATTTTTGACATTTCAATCCAATCTGGGAACAATTTGTACGTGCCTTTATATTAATGAAAAGAACTCAAATGGACAATATTCCAGCGCAAGGAAGGGAGAATTTTTTCAATGGATCTAATCACAAGGGTGGGATTTACCGCTCTATTACTGGAATTAAAAAAGCTTTCACTAGAGAACTTGGAAACCCCGTGGTTTCGTCCAGGTCCAAGACCATGTTGGCTGACATCATTGGCAACCCAGCGAGCTAAAATTGCACGATCATTTTGTAGAATCTTATGGGTGTGTCTGAGCTGAAAATTTTGAAAGATATGCTAATGTCATTGAAAACACAGAAGTAAAACAAAAAACAAATTATCTATCATGAAGAACTAGAAAGAGAAAATGTAGAGTTTTTACTTGGCATATCATTGAAAACACAGAAGTAAAACAAAATACATATTATCTATCATGAAGAACTAGAAAGAGAAAATGTAGATTTTTTACTTGGCTCTATCATTTAGTGGAGCAAAGAAAATGTAATAGTTGTTTTTTGTCTGCTGATTAGTAAACTTAAAAGAAACGTAAAATTGAAGATCAGAACTGGATGAGATATTGCTAGCCTAAATAAATTCCGACGTATTTTAGTTTGGAAGATTGACCAAAAAGTTCGACGACTGGTAATACTCAATCATACACAGCAAAACTATCACTGTGTTCATGAGCACTGTCGATTTTGAGAAGATAATCAATAACTTTACACAAATGCATATATACAATTTAAACAATGTCACATATAATGCAGATGCCCGTGACAATATTAATCACCCAATCGACAACTTGCAGATGAAACAAGAAAATAAATCTCCACAATAGAAATGCGGCAACCAAATTTGAGCTGCGATCAGCATATTTTGCTATCATTTTGATTTTATCACGAGTTCACTGATATTAAGGTCCTATTAGATCTATTAGCTCGAAAGACTTTAAGCAAGGTCACTATCCCAATCAATTGCAATTAATACCTAAGCGTCAATTTCTGGAAAATTAATATCGTCGATGAATTTATATGAAACCACCCGCGTATTCAAAAATATATTTGTACAACTGCATCAGCAGAAAGAAATAAAGCTCGAATTAAACAACCAACAGCAAGATCCAATACCCAGTTTCCCGAAAAACAGATAAAAAATACCCATCAGATTTAAAAATTGAGCACCTAAATTTTTGTCATCTCATTCAAAATGCATCTAAACGTTTAGAAATACGAACTCTGCGTTCTCGGAACCATAAAAGCAAAAATTCAACTAAAATCCCCAACCCATCATTTACAATCACCCCAAAAAAATAAAAAAGCCTAGTATTACCTTTCTAGAGTGATGAAAAATTCGAGAACCGAAAGTCATGTTGATGGGCGGATTCAGATGCTCCTCTCCTTAGAATGCGAATGGAGAGTCGATCAATCAACCGATAGGTGAATCTTGAACAGTAGAAAGAGGCGCGTGTGTGTATATTGCAGGGGATTTGGTGCGTCGTTTTGTAAAGGGCAAAATAAAATTCTACACTTTAGAGAGGATTTGGTCGCGTTTGACGTGCTAACATCTATAATTTGCTCTTTTTCAAGGTTTATTTTTGGTTAAGAATACATTTTAGATTGATCGTGGTTAAAAAATAAAAATAAAAAATTTGAATTTGTGTCTAACATTATTTTTATTGAAAAATGTATAATTCAAAATAAATGTATTTTAAAAATAATCGACATGGCTATATTAAAGTGTAATTATATTATCACCGCAATTTTTATTTTATACACTACACTTTAATTGCAGTTAAACTCTTTATCGTTACAATTGTTACATTAACTTTTTTCAATCGAATTGTCCTATTCAACCTTCTATTAACTGGTACATCTCGTCCTTAATAATGATTAATATCATAATATTTTATTTTCATGCTTTGAAACGAGGGACAAATATTTCTTTGTACTTTTTATTTATTTATTTTTAATAATGGATGAAAAATAAGTTCTTTTATATCATTTTAAAGGGCTTTTGGATATAAAATTGTTATCAAATACAAAATGTATTAAATAATGAAAAGTTTGATGATAAGAATGACATGGAAAATTATTATGGATATAATACTATAATGAGCAAATATTAAGAATTTTAAATGCAATTAAAATGTGGTGAAAAAAAAAAAACAATGTGGGGTGAATATAATTTACCTTATATTGAATACCATATCAAGTGAGAATTATTTTTAGATGATTTTAACTCTACCACAATTCAATTATTTCAATAATACATTACTTTTTCATTTTTTTAATATGTANAATAATACATTACTTTTTCATTTTTTTAATATGTAATAAATACTGTAAAATTCTTCTAATATATGATTTTTGTATTATTAATTATCAATTAATTAACATTCACATTAATCTACATTCAATTGATCTTAACTCGATAGATCTTGATCTATATGAATCTAAAATTATTATGGATAAATTTATTTCTATTCATGTATCTAGGAATTTTAATTAGTGTTTAAATTCACATATTAGCAATTAATTATTGTATATCAATGTAGTATAAAAATGTTGCTCATTTCTATTTCATCATCACAAAAAGTTTAAATTATAAATGTTGAGTTTTGATGGTACAATTTCTTTCTCTTTAATTTATATCTTAAATTTTATTTTCTTTAATTTGTTCGAAACTCATCAAATCATCCTAACAAATTAGTATCAAATATTACTTTTACACTACTTATAAAGTATTTCAAAATAACGTACAATGCACGTTCAACTAAAATTAGTAATCGAAAGTGGGTTTAGGAGGACAGAGGGCTACGATGATTCTCGATCTATTCGATTTAAGCCTCGAACTTTCCAATTTCATGATGCTTGGTTTGCGGAGTCCATTCGTTGTCGACTATGCACGTGGATATTGGGTATCAAAATTTTTAATATGCATAAATTGAGGAAGTTAGGTTTTGAGATCTATCACGTGGAGGAGTGACGAGGTAAGTGATATAAGAATATTAAAGCAGTGTTTGAATTGTCAACGACGAAAATGGATGAAAAGAACCAAATCCATGACATTGAGTAATTATAGACTAAGGCCTTGATTGAACTCCATTTTCGTGTCAAATGGTATTTTGTAATAATATTTTTGTTGAAGAATGTGCAATTAAAAAGTATGAAATTTTTTAAGTTTATATGTAAAATTATTGAGAGAATTGTAGTCAAAGCATCAAACTTTTCATCTATTAACAGATTTGACACAAACATTTCATTTTTGTCACCGTATGTATCAAATTTTTAAAAAATCTAATAATTTTGACCCCAAAAACTAAGGGGCCGTTCTCTTTGTATTTCAGTTTTCTGTTTTGAGTTTTGAAATCGTTTTTTGTTTTGTGTTTTGAGTGT